GTGGCTGCAAAGGGGTATATGTCCATCCTCACGATGCTGCTCCAACAAGAGACCAAGGACGAGAACGGCATCAACTCACTCAACCACGTAAACTCTATTTCATTTCCGGGGGTGTTAAACTTGTGTAGAATGGGGAATCACCCCTTTTTGTCGCTGCTGCTGCCGGCCACGCTGACGTTGTCAAATGTCTCCTTCGTGGCAACGCCAGCCCCCACGGCATTTCTCACGTACTGTCTTTGAATGATTCGTATTCAAAAGTCATTATTGCAACGCTAGGATGGATCGACACTGCTGCATGCGGCTGCGATTGGCGGGAACATGATAGTTGTTCATCAAATCGTTCAGAGCGGCGTCAACGTCGATGCGTGCGACGCGGTAGACAATATTGTCTGTGATTGGATCCCATCCAACTCCTATCTCGTTCAAACTAGATGGGGCAGACACCACTCCACATTGCGTCCGACAAGGCCTACGACAGTGTGGTCAAGTACCTTTTGGACGTCGACGCCAGTGTCTTTGCCAAGGATAAGGTATCGCCATCTCAACACACATTATAGCTCTAGGATGCCGTGATTCCTAGACGGGCAAGACACCGTTGATGCTCACGACCCACCCACTCGTTATCAACACCCTGCTAGAGGCAGAAAAATCGACCAAGCAAAAGGTAGTCTGCACGATCCAACGCATTCTTCTGCAAGTCTTTGTACGCTCCTCAGCTATCACAGACAATGCTAGATCACATCGTCACGCGTATATTCGGCTCGGAGGAGTTGCTGGGCCAACTCATCCAGCGTGTTTGCGACCGCCTCGACGTCAGCCACGAAGCTTTGAGGGTACGACTGCTGCCTGTCACAAGTCCTTTCCACTTATGTAGAGCTCGGTGGACAGACCCGAAGGCACACAAGGCGCCAGCGTACAACTCGCTTGTGAAACATCTAGGCTATACATATCTGTGGTGTAGGAGCGTGTTCAAGATGTCAACGACAACGACGCCAGCCAAAACCTGCTGGACGACGACAGTGATTCCAACGCCGCGAACGAGGTATATACTTCAGTCTTAACTCGTCTCTTGAGCATCGAAGCGACGCTGAAACGGTGTAGGCGGGCGACTCGCCACTGCATCTCGCTGTACAAACCAACGACCACAAGACGTTGATGTCGCTTTTGCGATCGCCCAGCATCAACCTCGACGTTCGCAATACGGTACAAAAACAAAGCGGTCGACGACAACGATGACAATTACAATATTGTTGTTGATTAGGCGGGCGTGACGCCGGTGATTCTGGCCATCCAAATGGGCCACCGACGCCTGGCGACGATGCTACAGACAGCTGCGCACCGCATCATCCCCAGCGTACTCATAACTTTCCTACGATCGATCTTTCTTTACCATGGGCGGGTCTAGGTACCGGCCACGGACATCAAGATGGACCAATCTAGTCCAATCTATGGCACCGTATACAAGGGCACGTACAAGGGTCGTGTCGTCGCCATCAAAACGCCTGCCGATGAGTCCTCCGCCCAAGCAATTATCCATGAGATGGAGACCATACAGCAGTAGATCACCTTGGTCCTGTGTAATGATTTAAACGTTAATGATTGTAGGTGCAACTCGCCGTACGTGCAGCAGCTGCTCGCCGTCTCGGATGTCAACTCGACCAGTCCCAAGCTCTTGCTCGAGTACATGGACGCGGGGGATTTGCGCAGCTACCTCGACGCCAAGCGACTCGGTGTGCCCACCAAGGTCAACGTCTCTCCATTGGAAGTCGCGTGGGTACTTGCAAATGCGCTCGCCGATTTGCATCACAACGGCGTCCCCCACCACGACCTTGAGAGCTACAACGTCCTCCTCTCGTCGACCAACTACATAAAAGTCGCGAACCTCGGTTCTGGCCTCGAGTCGGACGCAACGACGGGCAAGAGCACGCCGTACTGGACTGCGCCCGAGGTGCTCACGTCGACGAGCAACTACAGCTTTGCAGCTGACATTTACTCGTTTGGGGTCATTTTGACCGAGCTGGATACGCTCCAGCTACCTTATCACGACGCCAAGGGCCTTGGGTACTGGGGAATCATCGACGGCGTGCGTCTCGGCAACCTCCGTCCGACAGTGAGCGCAACCTGTCCGCCTTGGCTGCGAGATCTTGCTGGCGCATGTTTGTCGTTTGACCCGACGCAGCGTCCGTCCGCGCACATGATTGTCGAGTCGCTTCAGAAGCTACTCCGTCGCAGCGAGGAAGCGTTGGTGATGCCTATCAAGAGTGAGCAAACGGCCAAGTCGACCGAGCCGAGTCCGGGTGGCCCCACGGTACGCGTTGCTCTTGGTACGGTCGTTGGTGGAATGACGCTGTGCCTCTAGACAACCATATTTGACGCATCGACAGTGTCGGCGGTGCGACCACCGATACAAATTGTGAATACGTCTGACCACGGCCCTTGTAGACGACCTCGAATGCCAAGTCTGTGAGCACGCAAATCGTGTGTCAGCTCTGCCGTGTCTCCAACTCGCTCCTGCAGACACACTGCCAAGGCTGTGCGGAAGAGCTCGCTTCCGTTGCGTCCAAGCTCAAGATGCTCCTCAAGCGTCTCTCGGTGGCCAAGAAGAACAGGTTAGAGTTCGACGACGATCTTGTTTGCAACTGCTGCGACACACACCAACCGATGGAGGCGACCACCTGTGACAACTGCGACGATGTACTTCCAGACGACCAAGAAAAGCTGCGTATCCTCGTGCTACGCGTCGAGCAAGCGACCAAGTCCAAGGCCTAACGTCCAAACTGCACGTCTACATATTTTCTTTGTATAAGCCAAGAAACGAACCAATTGCATTACTTCTTTGAATATACGCCCTATGGACAGCTACAAAGCAAATCTGAACCCAAGACGGTCGATACCGTGCCAGACCCGGTGTTTCGGCGCTCAAGAGCTTCGTGCTGTACGCAACCCAGCTTTTCTTCGCCTCAAAGCGTGCGCAAGACAACGCGACAGCGCTGAGGCTCCCACGTCGCATGGCCACCATCTTCACGACGCTTTGATGGTCGACGCTCTGGCGCCTTTGGGTCTGGGAGGGTTAAACGCCACCCGCGCTATCAATCAACTACGTCCGTGACACCTAGAAGCGCGCTGTAATTGCCCAAGGCGCGTTCTACGCGCAGCTCTGGAAGGCTTGCATTGGTCGCCGCTGGAATGGAGGTACAGGCAGCGCCGTACCGTACGAGGTAAAAGAAGACACAGCGGCGCTCGCCTGTCGACGGTGTTGCGGTTGCTTTGCACCGCGTGACGAGCGTCACGTTATGGAATATGCGTCGGAATGTAAATACTACCCATGATAAGGTTTCATATTGGCCCGCACCGTCTCCGCTGATACCGCGCCATCGTGTACGAATCGGCTGGTGTACTTGCTTCTCGGCCACAGGTCTCGGTCCTTGCACGCTGCCACGTACAGTGTATATGGCCAATGCGGGTGCCACGTCATTATGCGTTGCGGAAGGCCCTTCCAGAAAGCATATAAGCTTGCCCGGACGTGGCACCAGTGTTGCGGAACATCGGTTTTTCCGGTTTTACTGGACACTGGTTAAACTACGATTAAACAGTGATTAATCAGTGGTGGCTTTTTCGAGGTTTAACCAGTGCCGATGAAACCCAGTAAAACCACTCCGATGAACCGCGGTGAAGGTTGGGAGTTTGACCAATTGCTCTCGTCATCCTCTTGATCTCTGTCAACACGGCGACTTGTGAGCGCTTGTTCAGCGATTGGGGCCTCATTCATTCCACGCGGCGGAATCGAATGAGCGCCGAGACGGTCAAGAAGATGGGCATAGTCCGAAGCAAGGTCCGCGAGAATATACACAGACGAATACATGGAAACACATTTACTTGGTGTTGAACATTCACCCGGTCTTGATGTTTTAATGCCCTTGATGCCCTTGATGCCCTTGAATGCCCATGCTCCTAGAGTGCGACGATGTTTACGCACTGGTTTAACCAGTGGTAAACACTGGTTTAACCAGTGGGTAAAAACGTTTAATCACTGATTAAACGATGTTGGTTTTGAACACCACTGGTTTTTCGCCACACTGGACGTGGATCGGCCGTCTGCAGTCTGCTGCAAATCCTACGTGGGGAACACGAAACGACCTGCTTTTCGATCCAGATCGTAGCGATATCGGGACACGATCCAAAATCGAAGTATGTCTGGTCCTACATAGGCCAGGTCTAGGGCAGGCGGCGAAAATGCCGAAGCCAGAGACCACGGCCGTGGTTGCCAGAAACCTCCTGGCAGAAATGGATGCCCACAGTGGCATCTATTTCCGCCAGTAGGTTTATGGCAATGACAGCGGTTGTCTCTTGCTTTGGATTTTTCGTCTCTCGCGGCCTACGCATACATAAGGGTTAGAACCTTGTTTCGAGAGGAAAAATTGCCGGTACATAGTGGGCTCGTCGGCGCAGCGCTTCTTGCCGGCCTTTCCGGGCTCATTGGCTCTCCAGCGTCTGTGAGCATAAACCATTCGATGCATGATGAAAAGGGCATTCACCGCAGCGACCCTCGCGTCGTTCTTGAGGTTGCGGTTGCGGGCGCTGCGGATCCTACGTATCCATGAGGTATGATGCCATGGACATACGGACGTACGCGCTCGCACGCACGCCCTTGGTGTCGCTGTGGTCCTGGATGAGCCGCTGCCACGTCGATACATCACAGTAGCCGGCGGGTGCAGCAGACTCTGCTGCATCCGCCGACTTCTCGACGGTGCCTCCCCCTCCCCAGCCCCTACCGAAACGGTCGCGATTGGTGCGGCCGCGACCGCGGCGACAACTGCGCCGGCCCCCGCCGAGGCCGACAAACAGAAAACCGCCGAAGAAGCAGAAGCAAACCACTCCAGCTGAGTCGCGCCGCTTCTTCACCGCCAACCCCCAGCAGCAGCAGAAGGCGCAAGAGCAGGCGAAGAAGAAGCAAGGCAAGACGCCGAACTCGGTGTCGTCGCCGTCGCCGCTGACTCGGAAGCACGAACCTCTCTCTGGCCATGAGCTCGACGATGCCACGCTAGACGCCAGCATTCGTCTCCTCGCCGAGCTGATTGCCCGAGACCCGGACGCGAACAACTGGTTCGAGCACCCGACTGATCTCGGCCCCCGATACGCCGAGGCCGACATGCGCGCTCTCCTCACGACCTACAACTTGTCGCTCGAGATGCAGGACTTGTTCGCCCACGTCGTCATCATCTTGAAACACTACGGCAAAGGGCCTATCCTGACGCTCGCGACGCGCAAGCCGGAGGTTAGCCAGACGATCACCCACATGTCCTTTACGCTGTCGCCTCCTGGCGGCCGGCAATACGTCGTCCCAGCGCGCTTGGCCTACGCGAAGAACTACTACGTCACGTTCCACGACCTCGCCGACCCGTTCTCGCAACGTGCGGTGACCATGGCCCTCTTGAAGATGACGCGCGACGTCCTCCACGGCTTCTGTCCGACAATGCACGCCTGCGTCCACAGGTCGTCGTTCTGTGTCCTTTTCAACCAGACGACAATCCCCGCGGCACTGCTGCTTGGCAAATGTGAGTCCGTTCGCGAGGTAGAGATCACGAACCGTGCCGGCGAGCGCGGTGTTCTACCACAAGACCCAGATGTACAGCTCGACCATTCCCCCGTCCATGGCCAAGGCGCGTCAAGAACGCGAGCTCCACAAAGCACGCGTCGCTCAGCAGAAGGCTGCTGCGGCCGCCGCTCGTGAGGCCCGTGCCCAAGCTAAAAAAGCCCGCCAAGCAGCGCGACCACGGGCGCTCGGCCCCCAAACGTCGCGACGCCGAGAACCCACCCGCAGATGCCGCCTCAGGCGCCTCGACCACGACGATCGGTCACATGTCGCTCCACTTGAACGACGATGCGCCGGCCGCGGCCGAGCTTGCCCCCGCAACAACTTCCGCAGGCGCCGATTCCATGGCTGGCGCTGGGTCGGACGACATGGACATCGGTGACGCCGACGATGGGCAAGACGTCGTAGTCACCGCCATTGATACGAGCGCGGGAAGCCTCAGCAGCCCGCATCGACGCACAACCCGTCGAATGTCTTGATCCACGAAGAGAGAAGACGAAGGAGACGAGAACGACTAGATAAATCCCGACGCGACGGCCTTCCTCCCCAGCTCCGTGCACCCGTGGTACGCTCTGACACAACAGGTCCCCGTAACCGCGACCTCGGGAAAAAGAAGATTACGGTCGCCGATCTCGCCAAGCAGACCGCCCAAACGTCCAAAAAGACCCTTGAAGCCAAATCCGTCGAGGTGGCCGCCTGCACAGACCCACGCCCGCTGCTCGCATGACGGAAAACATCCCCGCTACTGTGAACACAGTCATGTACGGCTGTCGCCGCCAGATCGCCCGGACGTTCCCAGGCACGGACTCGACACAGCGCGATGCAGCTCTCGCCCAAGCGGTGGAAGCGCTACCCAACGACGCCCGCTCGCTGGCTCAACTGTTTGCCGCGGTCGTACCCGAGACAGAGCGCGAGGCTGCGCTCGCCCTGGCCAGCCTGGATTTGGTCTTTCGGCTTCGCGGGCGCGACGTCTATGGCGACGACGCCTACCTCGCTGGCGCCGTTAATGCGCCCGTGCTGCGGACGCCGGATTCCTTGCTGTCGGACAAGACGCTGCTGCAGGTCGTCTTGAACAAGAGCTTCGCCGAGTGCATGATGAAGCTCCACCGCCTCCCGCGGCTGGTAGAGCCGGCCTTTGAGACGTTGCGCATCCTCTTTGTGGACTCCAGACTGCGACGACGTGACGGGAACGCTTCGTCCGGAAGCGCTCGCGCGTCAGTGCTAAGGTGGCCCCGGCCGCCTCGCCGGCGCCGCCGCGGCATGCTGACAATATGTCCGTAGCGGTACCACCGTTGGCGTTGAGTTTTGCTTGCCTCAACGCCAACAGTCCGGAGCGCTCGCTCTTGCACACCTACTCTTTCAAGCACGACATCACCTTCTACCAGGAGACCAAGTTCAGCTCTCGCAAGACCCAAGATGCAGCCGCGTTCGCGTGGCGTCAACTGATCTTCAGACCGTCCCATTGGTTCACCTGCGACCCGCGCTTTGCGCATGAGCGCGGTGAACACTCGTGTCGCGGGGTCGCCACTACGGTGCGGCCCGACGACGCGATTCAAGATCTTCGAGTCATCACACTGGTTCCGACCAAGGCCGAGCTCCAACACCGCTATCTGCTGCTCCAAAACCTCGTCGGCGACCTTCCCGTGTATCTCCACAACATCTACGCGCCGTCCGAGCCGGCGTCGCGAGCAGCCTTCTTTGCGGCGCCGCCACGCGATTTTCTGCCCGATGCTGTACACATCGTCGGGGCGACTTTCACGTCACGTTGCACGACCGTCTGGACTTCGTCGCTCCGTCGGGTGCCTCTCAAACCGGACGTGAAGCTCTCGTCGATTGGATGGGCTGCCTGGACCTCGTCGACGTTTTCCGCGCACGGCACCTGGTTCTCACTAGTCCACGCAGTAAGAACCGACTGGACTACATCTTCATGTCACGCGCCCTGTACCTCGGCCAGTCGGTGACGGCTAAGCATGAGCACGGCACGACGCGCTCCGACCACTCGGCCTGCATCGTCACTCTTCAACCCGGCCGGGACCTTGGACACCGCCACCGTGGCTTCTCAAACTGCCGGAGGCGGCCGAGATCATCACCTGGATGGCTTCCTTTCCCGCACGAACCTCTCGCAGAACGTCTCCACGTACTACGACAACATGGTGTACTATGTCCGGCGTCGGCTACACGCTTCGGGCCTACGTCGAGTACTTGAAGCTGCCGCGTGAGACGACTGCGATCACTGCGCGCTGGTGATCCAAGCAAGGAGTTGGCTGTACCGCGAGGTCCGGCCAACCACGGACCACGCGTGGACGGCGCTAACGCTCCTCGTGCGCCGCTATGTTCGATCGACGAATGCGACACCCCAGCATTTTGCCGAGCCGCCTCAGCAAGTGCCGATCCCGGGTAACTCGTCGATTTGGTCTCGCGGGTTTGCGTCAAGTACCAGCTGCGCAACAGTTGCGGAGCTCTTGGACCGTGTCGTCACCAGATTGCGTCGGTGTTTGGGTCCGTGTCACTAGAATAGAACGATTCCGTTGACGAGTTAGTTGGTTGTCGCTGTAGAGACTAGAGTCAAAAGACCATTTGCTGTGCTGAAAGAAGCAACACAGTTGAGGTCGGCGGACATTACTCCTTGCATTTTCTAGCAGAAAGCCAAGCCCGAGGTGCCCCGTCATACGCGTTGTGGAGGACCTTTAAGACTGACTACACCGACGCTTACTCCATTCGATCGGTCCGCCAAGCACCGGCTTTCCATGATGGTGTCCCAGCAGGCGCCAACGCTGGCGGGCGACGATCTCCCTCAGCGGGACACTCTTGCAGCGCTTGTAGAGCGCGACGTCGCCGAGCGTGTTCGGGTAAAAGATGCCTAGAAGACGACGCAGCTGCCGGCGATGGAAGCTGTCAAGGCCCGCCAGACTTGTTGGCGTCAGGGACCACGTGCCACAGCTGTACAAAAGGACGTATCACTTGTACAACCGCACACGGTTGCCTTCCGAGATGAGGCCTCGACGCATCCAGATCTTCCACGTGTTGTTGAACGCCGTCGTCGCCAGTCGCTTCCGAGCGCGCAGATCGGCTCGTCGAGGAGGCTGCCCTCCTCGCTAAGCGAGGTCCTTGAGCGCGGCGTCGAGATATGCAATACTTGTGGCGTGCCGATGTTGGTCTCGAACGGGCTGTGTGATTTGCCGTCGATGCGCAGCCGGAGCGTCGAGACGAGTCCAGTATGTACCAGTAATCTTTCCTCGCGAAACAAGGTTCCAACCCTTATGTATGCGTAGGCCGCGGGAGACGAAAATGCCGAAGCCAGAGACCACGGCCGTGGTTGCCAAACACCTCCTGGCGGAGATGGATGCCAAGGTTGACCAGGTCTTGGCGGGCAAGCCGAGTTGCGCCGCGGGCAGGTGGCAATTGCGCGCCACGTGACCACCGAGCGCGTCGCGACGGCGAAGGCCATCGAAGCGGTAGGTTTGCCAAGACTACATTCGCAACTGATAAGCGAGTTTCGTAGGTCCGGAAGCACGAGGCCGAGCTGCCCGCGATCTTTTTGTCGCCTTGCATTTTGACTCAAGAGATGGTCGATCTGCCGATTCCGCAACTTCCAGAAATGCGGGACGACCACGACGGTGACGTCTTTTATTAAAGGCGTCGCCATCGTGGTCGTCTGGCATTGCCGGAAGACGCGCGATCGGCAGATCGACCATCTCTTGAGTCAAGATGTTATTCGTAATATGGGCTTGGATCTTGTCCTGATGTAGCTACGATCTGGATCGAAATGCAGGTCGTTTCGTGTTCCCCACGTAAGCTCTGCAGCAGACTGCCGACGGCCGATCGACAGTCATAAAGGCTTGCCCGGACTCCGGGCAAGTTTATATGCTTTCTGGAAGGTCCTTCCGCAACGCATAATGACGTGGCACCCGCATTGGCCATATACACTGTACGTGGCAGCGTGCAAGGACCGAGACCTGTGGCCGAGAAGCAAGTACACCAGCCGATTCGTACACGATGGCGCGGTATCAGCGGAGACGGTGCGGGCCAATATGAAACCTTATCGTGGGTAGTATTTACATTCCGACGCATATTCCATGACGTGACGCGGTGCAAAGCACTTCCTTGCAACCCGCAACACCGTCGACAGGCGAGCGCCGCTGTGTCTTCTTTTACCTCGTACGGTACGGCGCTGCCTGTACCTCCATTCCAGCGGCGACCAATGCAAGCCTTCCAGAGCTGCGCGTAGAACGCGCCTTGGGGGATTACCGCGCGCTTCAAGGTGTCACGGACGTAGTTGATTGATAGCGCGAGTGGCGTTTAAGCCACCAGAGCGTCGACCATCAAAGCGTCGTGAAGATGGTGGCCATGCGACGTGAAGCTCCAGCGCTGTCGCGTTGTCTTGCGCACGCTTTGAGGCGAAGAAAAGCTGGGTTGCGTACAGCACGAAGCTTTTGACCGCCGAGACACCGTGCAATCGCATCGGGTTGGCAGCGCTGAGGAGCCGGCTACAGGCCGCGAGGTTGAGTGTCGTCCGACTCGGCGATCGACATGAGGACCGATGCGAGCGGCGCCGAAAAGTGCGGCGACAGGGTTGCTGAAAGTTGAGAGTTTGCTGCGGCAAGAGCAGTGGTCCCTCGCGCAGGAGGAGGAGCTGCCATGGCCGCCAAGCATCCTTCGAGGAGCGCTGGGTCGGCAAAGCGATCCGATATCACTCGCAGCAGTGCGTCTAGTAGCTGTGGGAAAAACGACGTTGGCAGGTGCAGCGAGCTTTCGGCGTGGAGAGCGCTGAGCGTGTCTCCAAAAAGAGCTGCGTAGCGACGATCAAGTGGTTTCGACCAGACCAAGACGGTCGATATCGCTAGCCAGAGCGACGCCCACACGTCTCCATTGAGAAGGAATGCGAGAGACAGAAATACCGTGAAGAAATCACCGAATGTCGAGCGCTTGGTCTCCGAGAGGCGGAGGAATGGATGCTCAAACCAACGGCAGTCGTCGACGGGT